TGGCGTCGTAGCGAAGAACAATCTTCGCCGCGGCGAGGTCTGGAACCTTTCGCCTTCCAAGATATTCAAAAATTGCTTCGCCGCGGCGAAAACTGGAACATTTTGTTTTCCAACTTGATTTGCAATTTCATCTGAAACATCCAAAACATACCAATTAAACTTCATAAACAAAATCAACAAAAACTAAAGAACTACAAAACAATCAACAAGGATAAATAAATCAAAACACTTGGGTTGCCTCCCAAGGAGCACTTGTTTATAGTTGAAAGCTCGATTCTCTCAATTCTTCAAGTCGGAATGTCAAGCCGGATCGGGATGAACTTGTAACTCATCACCCCATCAATGTATGGCTTCAATCTCTATCCATTGACTGTAAAAGTACCCTTTTCTTCATGTGAAACTTCCACCACTCCATATGAGTGAATTCTTGTAACTGTGAATGGTCCGGACCATTTAGACTTAAGTTTTCCGGGGAAGAGCCTAAGTCTAGAATTGAACAACAACACTTTCTGACCCACTTCAAAGTTCTTCTTCCTGATATGTTTGTCATGCCACCTTTTTGTCTTCTCTTTGTAAATTCGAGCATTCTCATATGCTTCGAGATGGAACTCATCAAGTTCATTCAAAGTCAGCATCCTTTCCTCCCCAGTAGCTCTTAAGTCCATGTTTAGCTGCTTGACTGCCCAGTATGCCTTATGCTCGAGTTCTACCGGTAAGTGACATGCTTTCCCATATACCATCCTAAAAGGAGATATACCAATTGGAGTCTTAAATGCAGTTCGGTAGGCCCATAATGCATTATCCAATTTCCGTGACCAATCCTTCCTAGATGCATTAACTGTCTTTTCTAAAATTCCCTTAAGTTCTCTGTTAGACAGTTCTACTTGCCCGCTCGTCTGTGGATGGTAAGGTGTTGCAACTCTATGCTTCACTCCATACTTTCCCAAAAGTGCATCCAATTGCCTATTGCAAAAATGGGATCCTCCATCACTAATGATTGCCCGTGGTACCCCAAACATTGAGAAAATGTTATTTCTTACAAAATTAACCACTACCCTAGCATCATTAGATGGCAATGCAGTCGCTTCCACCCACTTCGATACGTAGTCCACCGCCACCAAAATATATGTGTTCCCAAAAGAATTTGGGAAGGGACCCATGAAGTCAATCCCCCACACATCAAATAGCTCAACCACAAGGATGTTGTTCAACGACATCTCATCCCTTTTTGAAATATTACCCCTCCGTTGACATTGGTCGCACTCCTGAACTATCTGGAAAGAATCCTTAAAAAGGGTTGGCCAATAAAACCCAAATTGAAGAACCTTGGCTGTTGTCCTAGCTCCTCCAAAATGGCCACCCACTTCCCTCTCGTGACAATGCCGTAGAATGCTTTCCATTTCCTCTTCCGGGACACATCTACGTATCATTTGATCAGCACAGTATCTATACAAAAATGGCTCTTCCCAAAAGTAATACTTCAAATATGAGAAGAATTTCCTCTTTTGTTGGTGACTTCCAATTGGGAGCACCCTCGATGACAAATAATTCGCAAAATCTGCATACCATGGTGCTTCATCCACTCTCATCAATTTCTCATCTGGAAATGTTTCTCTAATTGGAATTTCCTCTTCATTTCCCTGGATTGGTCTCTCAATCCTTGACAAGTGATCTGCCACCACATTTTTTGACCCCTTCTTATCTTGAATTTCCAACTCAAACTCCTGAAGCAATAGGATCCATCTTATCAGCCAAGGTTTCGCTTCTTGCATTGCTAATAGGTGCTTGAGTGCTGAATGGTGTATGTAGACCATCACCTTTGCACCTAACAAATATGAACGAAATTTGTCAAAAGCAAAAACCATAGCCAACAATTCTTTTTTAGTGGTGGTGTAATTCAATTGTGCATCAGTGAGTGTTTTGCTAGCATACTGAATTACATGCAACACTTTGTTTTTCCTCTGTCCTAACACTACTCCTAGAGCAAAATCACTAGCATTGCATATCAATTCAAATGGTAGTCCCCAATCGGGAACTGCAATAATAGGTGCAGATACTAATAATTTTTTTAGAGTTAGAAAGGCATGCATGCATTCATTATTAAAATCAAAAGCAACATCTTTAATCAACAAATTGCAAAGGGGTTTAGAAATCGTAGAAAAATCCTTGCTGAATCGTCTGTAAAACCCCGCATACCCCAAGAAACTTCAAACTGCTTTAACATTTGATGGTGGTGGCAGCTTCTCAATCACTTCTATCTTTGCTCAATCTACTTCTATTCCGTCTTTTGAAATTCTATGACTAAGCACTATTCCCTCTTGGACCATGAAGTGACACTTCTCCCAATTGAGCACCAAGTTCGTCTTTTTACATCGCTGCAAAACAAGAGAATGATTGGCTAAGCAATTATCAAACGATGAACCAAAAACTGAGAAGTCATCCATGAAGACTTCTATAAACCGTTCCACCATATCTCCAAAGATTGACATCATGCATCTCTGAAATGTGGCTGGTGCATTGCATAACCCAAAGGGCATCCTTCGATAAGCAAAGGTGCCATATGGACAAGTGAAGGTCTTCTTCTCTTGATCCTCAGGAGCAATGGCAATCTGATTATATCCTGAATACCCGTCCAAGAAACAGTAATAGGCATGTTCTGCCAACCTCTCCAACATCTGATCAATGAAAGGAAGTGGAAAATGATCCTTCCTTGTAGCCTCATTCAATTTCTGGTAATCAATGCACACTTTCCAGCCTGTGACCGTCCTAGTTGGTATCAATTCATTACTCTCATTCTTTATCACCGTGATACCTCCTTTCTTCGGAACCACTTGTACCAGGCAAACCCATGGACTATCGAAAATAGGATAAATTATTCCTGCATCTAGGAGTTTCACCACCTCATTTCTCACCACTTCCTTCATGGAAGGATTCAATCTTCGTTGTGGTTGCACCCTAGGCTTGATATCATCCTCCATAAGTATCTTATGCATACAAAATGATGGCGAGATGCCTCTAATATCCGAAATAGTCCATCCAATTGCTAGTCTGTGTTCCCTCAACACCCTAATCAACCGCCTTTCTTCCAATTTGCTCAAACTTGAACTAATAATTACTGGGAAGGTCTCTGATTCCCTAAGATACACATATTTGAGGTGGGAAGGTACAAGTTTCAACTCAAGCTTTGGAGGTTCTTCATTTTTTTCCTTTTCCTTCTTTTTTTCAAAAACAAATTCCTCAAATTCTAGATCTTGGCTCTCATCAATCGGTTGAAGTGCTTCCAATAATCTAGCACATTCATTGCTCGCCGACTCATGTACCTCAACTGTTTTTTATTTGGCAATACAAGCTTCTAGAGGTAATTGTGGGGTATTCTCTTTAATAGATTCTGCTACTAGTTTGTCCACCACATTAACACTAAAACATGAATCCAATTCAGATGGAAACTTCGTAGCCTCAAAGACATTGAAAGTTACTGTTTCATCTTGAACTCTCAATAGTAACTTCCCTTCTTGCATATCTATAAGTGCTCTTCCCGTGGCAAAAAATGGTCGGCCCAAAATAAGAGGAATTTCCTTATCCTTTTTCATGTCCAAAACAAAAAGATCTCCCGGAAAGAATATCTTATCCACCTTTACCAACACATCTTCCACTATCCCCTTCGGATGTTTTATGGACCTATTTGCAAGTTGCAACGACACGATCAAAAGTAATGTCTCCTATAATGCAAGGAATAGTAAAACTCCCTGGATCTTTGAGCTTTGGGGGTAGCTTTTTTTGGAGAATGGCACTGCATTCCTCTGTCAGCATCACTGTTTCCTCATCCTCTAACTTCACTTTGTTTGATAAAATTTCCTTAAGAAATTTCGCATAGCTTGGCATTTGTTGCAATGCATCTGCAAAAGGAATCTTAATATGCAATTTTCTAAATATCTCAATGAATTTGGAAAACTGCTTATCCTGATTCTTTTTCTTTAGTCTTTGAGGAAATGGCACAGGTGGAGTGTGATGTGCCAATTTTGGTGGTATCTCGGGAAATGGAAATTTCTCTTTCCTTTGTCTTTGTCTCACTTCCCGTTTCTGTTCTTCTTCCCTAGAAATAGATGGTTTCTCTTCAGGAACTATCTCTTCATCTACTTCCTCATCAGATTCTTCATTTTCCCTTGGTGGCTTTTTTTCTTCTCTTGATTTTTCCACCTTTTCCAAAACTGTCCCACTCCTCAAAATTATTGCATTTGCTTGCTCATGTGGGTTAGTCACTGTGTTGCTTGGTATAGACCCCTGTGGTCTCTCATTTAGCTTTTCAGCTAACTGCCCTATCTGTACCTCCAAGTTTCGAATGGATGCCCCTTGATTTCTGAAATTAGTTCTCGTCTCATTCATAAAACCTGTGGTCTCTTGCATGAACTTCCCAAACATGTCCTCCAATTTTGTCACTCTTGGGTCTCCTTGTTGGTTGTTCACCTCTGTTTGGTTGTTTGGCAATGCCCTTTGGTTCCATTGATTATTTTGCTGGTTCTGATTGCCCCAAGACAGATTTGTATGATTCCTCCAACCCGGATTGTATGTGTTGGAATAGGGATTGTTTGGTTGCCTCTGATTTCCTGCCAAGTAGTTAACTTGCTCCGATGATGAAGATGAAGAAGCAAATGTGTTTCCCACTTGACACTCACTGCTCACGTGGCTACCTGCACAAAAATCACAAGTTAGTTGAGGAGCTTGAATAGAGTTTACCTGCATATTTCCCAATTGTTTCTGAAGTGCCGTGAGTTGGGCTGAAATGGCCGTGAATGCATCAACTTCATAAAGACCCATAGATTTTATTGGTATTGCTCTCTCATTGGGTCTTTGATGGTTGTTGCTTGCCAGGACTTCAAGCAACTCATAAGCCTCCTCCGGTGTCTTATTCTGCAAGGCTCCTCCCGATGCCGCATCCACCATAGTTTGCACGTTACCTATCAATCCATTGTAAAATGTTTGGACTTGTAGCCAAATTGGCAAATCCATGGTGTGGAAATTTCCTCATCAGTTCCTTGTATCTCTCCCAAGCCTCATACAATGAATCAAATTCTTCTTGTAGAAACGATGTAATATCATTTCTCATTTTTTGCTGATTTTGCTGGAGGAAAGAATTTGGTTATGAACTTCTGTGCTAGATCGTTCCATGTTGTGATAGTTCCCGATGGTAGTGCTGTTAACCATCCTTTAGCTTTATCCCCCAATGAGAATGGGAATAGTCTCAACCTGATGGCGTCATCTGACACTCCGTTGGACTTGAAAGTGTCACAAATTTCCAAAAAGTTTGCAATATGCTGATTCGGATCTTCCTTCGAATCTCCATTAAACCTTACTGACTGTTGGATTATTTGGATGATTGCCGGCTTTATTTCAAAAGTGTTGGCTTGGATCACTGGTCTTGTAATGCTCGAACAACTACCATCAACTGTGGGAACTGAGAATTCCCTAAGTGTTCTGGTTTCTGCCATTTCAACCGCTATGACCTCTGGTTCAACCACTGTAGCCTCTCGTTCTCTTTTCTCTCTGTTAAGTCTTTTGGCGGTTCTCTCAATCTCAGGATCAACAGGAACCACTGGCTGACGTCTTGCTCTTCGCATAAACTACACAGCAAGAGCAAAAGAAAGTGATATCACAAACCAACTGAAAAATAAAAACAAAAGTAAAACTGAAAAATGATAAAAACAAAAATTAAAACTCCAATCTAGCTAACTAAAGAAAAACTCAATGTTAACATAAAAATCAATCCCCGGCAATGGCGCCAAAAACTTGATGCGTTGTTACTACAACATGCAAAAATAGCAAGTATACTAGTCAAACAAAGTAATAAAGTGATGAGCAAGTATTGTTCCTGCAAGGATTGTTTGCTAAGCACTAAGTTTTCTACCGTTTTCAAGTTGGAGCAATCAAACTCGTTTGGATTAATGGGAGAAATTTAGACTAAAACTAAAACAGAATTTGCTAACTTAAAAGTAAACTATGAAAACAAGATTTAAAACAAGGATACAATCGATTCAAACAAACGGGTAGGGTTTTGACTTCATTCCGACTCTATGGGTTAAACCTAAAGATTATACTAATTCCATATTCACATGCATTGATTGTAAATCGAATTCTCTAAAGTGTAAAATATACCTTCTCAGGCTATATTTCCTTACTCTTCCTTATTAAACTTCCGCACCCAACAAAATGAAGATTAATAGTTCAAAGCTCATTAAGCACAAAGAATCCTAGACTGATTTCATTGATTCTCAAATCTATCTCTAGCATTCAATACTACAATGGTGATTACCCAAGAAGCTTAACATGATTCATTTCTTAATCTCATCATGTTCATCACATAAAAACAATAAATTCAGAATAATCACACAATCAAAGCAAAATCATATGAAAATAATAACAATCAATTACTTAACCCATGGAATTTCGAATTACATCAAAACCCTAACCCAAAATGGGTTAGTTCATAGCTAAATCAACAACACAAACAAAAGAAACAAAAAACCCAATGTTTAACATAATGAAAACAAGAGAAAGGACAAGAGATCTCCCCAAATGACGAATCCACTGGTTTTAGTCTCGAATCTTCACCCTTTTCAATCAAAGTTCGCCCAAACTAAACCTAAGAAAATGAAAATAGCTGCTCTCTCCTAAAAACGAACGACCTTTACAAAAATGGCTAAGTTTCTCTTTTATACCTCACCCAAAACCTAAGACTCCACCTAAAATGAAACTGTACGTTTTAACAAAAACTGGAAATTGCAGACTTCGCTGCGGCAAAGAAGGATTCTCGTCGTGGTGACGAAGTAAGAATAGATGCTCTCGTGCGCAACTCCTTTCGCTGCGACGAACCTTCATATGGAATTCTGAATTTATAGAATTGCCTTCCGCTTGCTTCTTTGCTTGAATTTTTGATCTTCGACACTCTCCTCATGGAAACAAGCTTCATAGTGCTCCACTCTACTTCAGAATTCTCCCAACTTCTGAGATCCGCTCACTTCTGAGTCCAAAAACTCCAATTCGCTCATTATTTGCATAAAATGTCCTTTTAGCCTGAAACACAAAATATAAAGAATTAAGTAGCAATTCAGGTCAAAATGAACTAAAAAGTATCTGAAATCCACAAAAAAGTCTAATAAGAACAGTATAATCCACGGATTATCAACCCTAACATGTAAAACATACCCTCTCAGGCTATGTTTTCCTACTTATCCCTATTAAGCTTCCGCAACCAACAAATTGAAGGTTAATAGTTCCAAGTCCGTTAAGCTAAATGGAATCCTAAATTGATATCATTGATTCTCAAACATATCTCTAGCATTCAATAAAACAATGGCAATTACCCTAAGAAGCTAATACATTATTCACTTCTCAGTCTCATCATGCTCAACAAGTAATTTCAATAAAAACAAGAGTAATTACACAATCCATGCAATAGAATGTAAAAGCAACATCAATTTATTGATTAGACATTAAAATCCCAATTACATCAAAACCCTAACCCAAAAGTGAGTTAGTTCATACTAAAATTAAAGCAAATCAAAATAAAAACTGTAAACAAAGAATTCAACATGATGGAATAAAGAAAAGAGAACAAAATCTACCCTAATTGATGAACCCAAAGAGTTTCAATCTCCAATCTTCTATTCTTTCTTCAAAAACAAAGTCGAACCCATTCTCAGGCTAAGTCCCACTTATATAGTCGGTCCCAAAACCCTAAGACTCTCAAATAAAATTAAAACGCACAGTTTTAATAACTGAAAATTGCAGACTTCGCCGCGGCATCGAGTTGGCTTCTAATTCACTATCTGACCCAAGAGTTTATCGCCGTGGCAAACTTTTCTGAACTATTCTGAAATTATAAAACTGCCCTCCGCTTGCTTCCTTGTTTGAATCTTCAATCTTTAGTGATCTCCAACAGGGACAAGCTTCATATTGCTTCATATTCCCCGAATCCTTAGATTCGCTTGCTTCTGGGTCCAGAAACTCAATTCCGCTCAGTATTTGCTATAACTGCATGTTTTGGCCTGAAACATAAAATATATGAAATTAAGTTGCAATTCAGGCACAAACGAAAGAAGAAGTATCCAAAATCCGGCCAAAAAGCCTAGGCAAAACAGTGTTATCCTAGGATTATCAAGGGCCTATGCTAATTTTTCTTCGAAATTAGTTAATTTGTAGACTCAATAAGCATGTGACAATTTTCAATTTATATGTCTATGTATATTTGTCAAAAGGACCAGTTTGTCATAAATCAAATTGTGTGGCCTTGTTTGTAATTCTATTGAATGGTGTCGTTTAGAAAAGTTGTTAGAAATCAGTTATACTGATTCCAACAGCTTCTTCTTCACTTCGTCACTTTACTTTTACTCTCTTTGTTTTCTAAATCAGCTCTGTATATAAAAGAGAGAGCTATACTACATTGTAATTATTTGTTATCAATAATCAAGATTACATCTCCTTCTTAGATTTTTCTCAAATTCTTTGCTTCTCATACATGGTATCAAAGCCGTGAATAATGTCAATGGCCAAGAAACCTAGTTCTTCATCCACTCTATTGCCTAATCACATTGAAGAGATACTACCGGAGTCTCTCAGTCGTTTGACTTCAACTCTTGCATCAAGTCTCCAAGTTATCAGCCCAAAACTGACGCACGATAACTACAGATTTTGGAGCTCCCAAGTCTTGTTCACAGTAGGCTCACATGAGCTTGAAGACCATTTATTAGGTAAAATTCCCTGCTCTCCACCTTTAATTATGGCAGATTCTTCAATTGATGAAAACCTAAGCTCACTTAAAGAGGATGTTAGGGCTCAAATTGACTAAATTAATCTGGATTATATCATGTGGAAAAGAACAGATAAATTTTTAGTTAGTTAGTTGCTAGCATCCATCTCTGAGAGCATATTCAATACTGTGTCGAAATGTAGATTTTCTACTGAAATCTGGAGAATTTTAGAGAATGAGTTTATCAATGATTCCAAGGCTCGAGCTCTACATCTCAAAAATTTGTTGCAAACTACACAAAAATGCAACCTTAGTGTTAGTGAATATGTCAAGAAAATGAAGGAAATTAGTGAAAGCCTATCTGCAAGTGGCTTAGTTGTTTTGGACAGTGATTTACTACAATATATCCTGGATGGTTTAGGACCAAAATATGACCCTGTAGTTGTAACACTTACTTCCAAACTTGAATCAAAGGTTGAATACTCTGTAACTCTCTAGGAGGCTCAATTTATCCTCCAAAAGTACGAAATTATATTGGAGAAATCTATATAATAGTTCTGCCCACTTAGCTGTTACTAATACATTTGGAAGTGCTAGAAATGTTGTTAACTTTGGAGGTGCTGGAAGTGTTGATAAATTTGGAGGTGTTGGAAATATTGTTGATTCTAGAGGTGCTAGAAATCTGGTTAATTCTGGAGGTGCTGGACATATTGGACCTACTCTTAATTATCTTGGAAATCCTCATTTTCAACAACCATATGCCATGTCCTCTGAAGTAGGTTCGCAAAGTCAATACAGTCAGATGTTTTACTCTAGACCTCTTGGTTTTGTGCCTTATGGAAGAGGCAAAGGTAAAGGTTTCAATAGAAATAAACTCATCTATCAGGTATACAACAAAGTAGGGCACTCGACAGTTCAGTGTTACCATAGGTTTAATGTTGAGTATAATGGGATGACACAATATGGAACTTCTCAATACACTGGTTCTGGTTCAGGTCTTTAGTTTTCTGGATCTAATTTTTAGTAGTTTCACCACAATAACAATCATCAGTTTGCTAGTCCTGAGCATAAGCAAATAACTTCTCTTGGTCCCCATCAGTTTACCCCTAGACATGAGTTAAGACAAACAAATCAGTTGAGTGCATCCTCATATAGCCCCTACTCTGGAATAGCTGGTTCCAATACTTCACTTCTAGGTTTAGGAATGACTAATGTTCATGATACTACTGCTTTTGGAATGCCAAGTAAACAAGTAACATGTTCTAATAAAGTCTCTAATCAAGCCTTTCTTGCTGCCTCAAATAATTAGTCAACTGTAGCTAATCAATTCACCTCCACTGACCCTATCTGGTATATGGATTCTG